TCACAAACAATACATTTTGTTGAATGTTGTTTGATTCTTTTTCTCTCTGGTTAATTGAAAACTCTAAATTGGCATTTGCTGTGAATGGCTCTCTGCCATGGAATAGAAAGATTATAAACCCAGGTTATGCTGTACACAAGTGCGCAGTCGGGATCAGCTTTTAACTTTGCATTCATATAGCAAATTCTAACTGTGATTATATTTCAAATCAAGATCATATTTTTTTTTAACATTTGCAATATGTTTGGAAAGGGTCATAATTTGCTGTAATACATCCTCAATATTTAAATACTCACCAACAGTATTGAAACATTCCGTTCATTTTCTCAACTATTTTTCCTGCAGAGGTTTGGGATTATACTGCTAGATACTAATAGAGATCAACTATGTCCTTTAATTGATAATTGCTGTATTTATATCCAAGCATCCATCCACGAACTAGTTTCTATACAATGTATCCTGGTCTGGCATTAATTCTGTGTGTCCACACGTCAAACCTACCATTCAAGTGAAGAGGAAGAAAACACAGTTTCCTCCACCATGCATCCAAAAATTGTGGAGGCTCGATGCAACCCAAATGGCATGACAAATGCTGAATGACTAATGTCAAAATAGCCTCACAGACGTGCACCACCTGCTTAGCAGGAGAGGCCCACCGATGCCAGCATCACAGTGATTCTTAGCTGGCATGTGATTTTTCTGCAAAAATAATGCGAATCTGCAAAGGGTGAGGATGAAAATCTTTGAAAGTCATCCACAGTGGTGCGAAAATATTATACGTTTAATAGAAAAGTATTAATGTTAGGTATAATGTGTGTCTAACAGAGAAAAGGTAGCACAATATTATCAGCTCTATTTTCATGTCAAGTCTAGCACAAAATGCAGTCTAATTGTGCGCATGGGTGAAATATTCTCTCTTTTGGTATTTTTGTCGACAAGTGCAGTTCGAAATGGGCGTTTGCACCGTTGTGGATGTGAATACAGCCAACTTGCCTCCTGGCCAAAAGCAAATTGGCTTCTCTCATTGTTTTTGAAATCAGCAGGGTGCACAGTCTTTGACATTGGGGAAGCCGCAATGGACTCGCTGGAGTCCATGCAGAAAATCGTAAGAGCAGCCCTCCACAGGTGGATGATGTAAAGTTGGCCATAGTGATCGCAGATCACCACGGTGAAGTGGACACTTGGAGACGGATTACCATGTGTAATCCCTTGTTGGCAGTCAAATTATGTAAATGTGTAACATGCAAAGATAAATACACTATACAGTACATGAAGAGAGAAAGCATTTCTTACTATTGTGCTATTGTATTGAAAAATACACTTCACTGCCCTCCCTGAAATAGACAATACAGCATATCAATGTCTCAAACCACCACTCCGCGGCACAGCACCGGTCCACTGGCCATTGGTTTAAAAAAAAAATGTCGACAAACTGTTCTGATCAGAAAATATAGTGGAAAATATAAATTTGACAGGAAATGTGAAAGATATCAAATATAATGGGAGCAATATAGAACAATATATATTAGTAATCCTTACAACAATTGAAGGTTAATGTAATCAAGACTGTGATTGCAAGAGTGGTTATTATTCTGCTTTTGCAAGCTGTCACTGTAGAGATGGTGCTGAAATCATAATGCTTTCAAAAAAAATATCCTCCACTAATCATAAATGCAGTGAATAGAACCTGCATTTTTTTTTTTTAATGGAGGCTTTGTTTTCCATATTCCTGCCTGGGTGACAAACAAAACTATCGTGGGGGCCAGAATCCACTGCAATGGTTCAAGCACATTCACCTCTGCAATTCGCTTCTCAAGGTGGAGACATAATATTTTAATACAAGCAATATAAGCTGTTCCATTGTTATTCACAACCCTGAAAATTGCTCAAATATTAACAAATCTTGTAGGCAGAGGTAAATACACATCCAGTATCTTATCATATGAACAAGGTAAATAAATTGCTGTGAGACTTAAGTGAACCAAGAACAGTCAGCTTGTTTCACATGATTTCCAAAGTACAAAAAAAGCTGCGATTTCGTGCTCTGCTGCCCATTGGAAATGTTCATTGGATCCGGAGGCATTTTAGGTACTAAACTGAGAGAGGAATGATGAGAGGCAATTCAGATTTGTGTAACCCATCATTGATCTAAGGTACTTTTGTGAAAGTTCAGCCATATGTGGAATATGTGGACACAATCCAAATAATTACCATGTAGCTTATGCTTATGTTCAATACCTTATCTACCAATGGAAGGCAATACAATTTAAAATAGTGTGCTGAGAAAAATTCCAATTTTGTTCTTTTTCAAATTTCATTTGTTTGATGTCATGTCACTCAAAAGGACTGCATTTTGACCTTACTCAATGTCCTTGATAGATGATAAGGAGAGACAGAGAGAGGAATAGATGGAAAATGGGCTTTCACTTGTATAGGCTCTTCTGTCTCCGTGACTCCTAAAGTGCTTCACACCCACTTTTCTTTCATCTGCTGATGGCGCAGCAGCAGGAGCAACTGGGGGTTCAGCGTTTTGCCTGAAGGGGAAGTCAACCCCAAAATAAATGCTTTTGGTATCTTCCAGGGTGTGACTCCATGATTTTAACTGGTCTGTGCAAGCTTAAGCTGCAGAACTTCCAACTCGGGAAGGTCACAGCCGTAAAACAGTCTAGCTCAAGTCACGATGTAACTATGTGCTAAAGAGGCCTAGATATTCTCTATGTTGGAAAAAATATATATTTCTTTGCACTTGTATGCACGTATTTTAATTGCAGCATCATATGAACTCTGCTCTAGGGTGAAGACAAAAAAGGTCACGTTGCTCCTGCCCCCTTGTGGCTCTCTCTGATATTACAGGAATACAAAACAAATTCAAAGTATTTTTGGTGGATGCCACTTGTGTCAAAGGGAAAATATTTCTTTCATTTATGCTTGTGTATATGTTCTCATTGAAGACAAAAGGTCAGGCACTTCGAATTCCGCCAGCCTAGTTGTTCAAACTGTCTCCTTGCATACCAGTTTTCATGAAATTTTATCTCATTTATCTCATAGTGCTTGTCCTCTATCTTGTCTATTTATATCTATTCACGTGTTTCCCATGATATTGTATTTTCTCTCATAAGTAATATATATATACTGTAAGCATGAACAAGTACAGTTTGAGTCAGCCTGTTTATTCAGTACATTCAATAAAGAGCTGTACAGGAACTCAATTATTCATGTTCTATGTAAACAAACAGTTTCTTGGGTTAAAGTCATTAACTGAATTGCCCTGAAAATAATCATAAGATATTTTTTTTCACCTATTGATACCAGCGACATACAGTAAAATAAAAGGCATAGCAATGACAAAAAATGCTCTTGAATCAGATGGCAGAAAGGGGAAATCAACCTCTGTGAATGGACCTGATACGATTCATGCAACAGAATAAGTCACAGCTTTCCGTGACTATATCCTTCTTTTTGGGGGAATTTTCTTTTGGCGGTGTGCTATGAGATTTTTCTTTTGTAAAATAATCAATAAAGGTTGTGAAACAGTTTAAAGTTTTCAATAAAATTTTTGGGGGGGAATGTGGAAGGCAGGCAGAGTACTTGGAGAAAACTAACACAAACACTGGGAGAGCATGCAAACACCACACAAGAAGGCCTGAGTCGAGATTTGAACCTAGAACCTCACTGATTGAGAGACAGACGCTAAATTACAAAATATAAAGAGGTATCTGTCCTTGGTACTGTATCGAGGAGCGTGAATTCTAAGCAAGTTTTTGTTGATGTGTCAATAAAATACAGTGAGTGAAAACAATAATATCCACACTTGGATATACAGCAGTGCCCTTTTGTTTTCACTCCTTCTAAATATGCAACCGTCCATCCTAGATCTGAGGAAGGGAACCAGCATCCATTTCACTGGTTCAGGCACATTAACCACTTCAATTCTCTCTTAAGGTGGAGACACACATTTTAACCCCAGGTCAAAGTTTAGGATGTACATTTTGTTGAACATTTATAAGAAGAAAGAGAAACAACTGCATCTTTTTCTCTCTCTCCAGAAATAGCAAAACTGGTGTGAATACCGTGTCATCAAGACAATGGTGCCTCATTGTGCCCACAACAGTTGTCATAATCAAGGCTGTGGGGCCTATCAGATTCATTTCACAAACATCCAGATTACCACATTGTTGAAAAAGAAAAAGAAAACAGGAAGGAACAAAGAAACGAAGAAAGAAAGAAAGAAAGTGCTGCTTGATTAAACCTCGTTTCACTCACTGATGATTTTTGTCAATCAACACTAACTGGAAACTTCTTTGGGTACTCATTTTCAATCTGATAAACTATAGTACAACTGAACTGAGAATATTTTGCAAGTGTACAGTAATACCTATTGACACGATCAGCCTGTAAATTCTGAAAAACAAATGATTCTACTGTCATCTAGTGGACATAAGCGTGAACTCCTATCTTAGTTTTTTACACTCTCTCCCTAAACAAACCATAATCCACCATTCCATCCATTTTCGACACCTCTTACCCTCGGGTGTGCTGGAGCATCTTCCTTGGCTGACAAGGGAATCGCAGGGCACAAATACGGCCATGCATTAGTTATTATTCTAAGGCCCTCTGACCAAGCATATTTACTTCTGCTTATAGAAACACCTTCGGTCCAAAAAAATCTTGCTTTGTTGGGATTCACAGGCAAACCCCTTTGCTAAATGCCCATATCACTTCCAGAAACAAGTCAAACCAGATGGTCGAGAGATTGTTTAAACAGGTCAGCTGTGGATTCACCGATAGATAAAAACAGTAATGTCGAATATGAACATATCTTTCAGACACTAAAAATATAAATAGATTAGTGGTGGTTAATTTAAATTTTTTGTGGCAGTTCATTCTAAAGTCAAACAAATGCTGTGCTGCAGTGTGTAGTGAATGGTTACTCTGCGGCGGACTACATTTCCCAGAGTGCAATAGCATGTGACGTCACGTGGCTCGATTGGCTCCCCAAGATGATGACCTTTGCTTTCCGTCTCAGTTCACTGGCGTGTTTATCTCGCAGGCACGTTTTCTGTCGAGTTTTGTGAACAGATGAGTACAGCAGAAAAATAGCGCCATGGCTACTAACCTGAGCTTTGGCTTACTCGACACACACAGGAGCGTGCGACATGTCGGAAAACTCTTGGTTCAGTGCATGAGTGGAGCTAGACCTTTCTCGAGTGCGACTCACAAGAACCGACTTGAATTTGGGGATTCCACTCTAGCTTCTTCCGACTTAAACACATCTGCGAAAACCTTGACAAGACAGGTAATATTACTATTTATTATAAATAATGTGATCATTTCTGGAATGTAAATGTACCGGGAACGTTTGAGACATGTGGGGCAATATATTAAACCGGTATAACACTAGGTAAGGCTAATTACATAACTTAATAAATACGTCAACATTTGTGACAAGTTAGGTTATTAATCGATAACATAAAAAGAACAAGCTCTTATATGTGACTTTGCAATCTGTACTTAAGTTGCTTTAAATTCAATAAGACATTGGTTTTAAATACATTTGACATTGCTTTTAAAAACAAGTTACCAGTCTTGTAATCAAATATATGAGATCGTCAAAAAAATGATAAGTGTGTGAATGCTGAGTTATTGCCATTGTTCTGAAATAACAAAACAAATGATAAATGTCGGCGATGCTGATAAGTTTTATATTATCGTGTATCATAGCAACCCATGGAAATTTGCTCCCGAGAGATTCAGCTGTACTCAGATATTATTACTGTCTTTAGTGATTTTCTGTTTCATGATTATGTCAAGGCTTTCTTGCAGTAGGATCATATTTTGTAGCCAAAAAGGTTTTAGCATAGGCAAAAACAGCATGCCTAATGTACTTCACTCATCCTGAACAAACCAAGCGTTCTCCTTTTGAGGAGAAAAAAAAAATCATGGTCTCAGCAATTACAGACTTGCAACTGAAGTGAACATGGTGTTGATTAACCAGCCGTCCTTTGTATTATCCTCCTGACTACCAGTAGTTCAAATTTGTCCTCTGTAGAGGACATTTGTAAACCTAAATATCTCCCACCCAGTGCATCCAATCGCATTAACTCCTTTTGGTACTCTAATGAGGACATTCAGTGCTTTCCAATGATACCAAATTTGTAGGGGTTAGAAAAAGTAAGAAAATGGCTTCCCTCAGTGCAAGCACTTTTTATGGGAAGAGGAAAAGTAATACTTTTTATCAAACACATTTTGTCTTGAAATGCTGTTGGCATTTTATTTATAAGACTCTTATGAACACGTTAAAGTGTTGTTTGAGTTGTTTTAAGTGTATTTGAGCCTAGTATTCAAGTGTTTAAAAAATGTAGTGGAATTTCAAAAATTTCTTTTGGAGTAGTCCAATTACTTCACATAGATTGGGGAATTTCAAAATAAATGTGATTGGACGACTTTTTTTTTTCCCTGGTAGTCAGGAGGTTAAGATACTATTGAAAGTAGAATTAGTTGTGTTGGAAGTGTCTCTCTGTTTTACTTGAGGTGACAGGCTAAGAATTTGAATTGTTTTAGGGTGACTGAATTAGTGAACAAAAGAGTAATTGTTGTCACAAGTCAGGCTAAAGTCCTGTGATGTAGTATAACGCGTGTCACCAAACACTAAATCTTGTGTTCGCCTTCACACAGAGAGCAGAGCAGCATAACTACCGGCACGAAGGTCATAATCATTCCATGAGACCATGCACTATTGCAATGTGACTCCCTTGGGAAGCTTGCTCGCCAATTCTAAATGATTAGCCAGTTTTTTAGTTCAGCCAGCTGTCATAAATGCAATGGATTTCAGTTTCAGAAAGCACCCGCAGTGTTTTCTGGGTTTTTTTTTTTTTTTGCTGTAGATATGAATTGAGCCAAACATTATTGAAATACTGTGCGATTGATTACAACACAGCGTTTGTTATATTCACAAGCCTGTGCAGGGACACAAACTATGCATATAACTGTTGAAAAAAAATGGATTTAAGGGTGGTTTAACCATAGAAAAGTAATTTATTATCACTATAGTTACTAGGACTGACCCCGTCATCTGACTCTTCACCAGGAGAAGCTTAGGGAGGACAACATTCCCTTTTCATCGTTCTTGACGGACAACTTTGGCCGGAGACACAATTACTTACGCATCTCCCTGACTGAGAAATGCAACCTACGCTGTAAGTCTACCTGCCATGTCTGTTGAAAGGATCATCCGGCCAGGATTGTCCATTTTTCACTAACAGGCTCAATTTATGTTATTTTATTGATATATTTTTTTTTTAATCAGGAAAATGAATACTACCATCCATCAAATTTGATCATTTTTTTGACAAATCAGTAAATAACTATCTACTCTCAAAACACCCCTTTCTAGTCAGCACTACACAGTCATAGCCAAAAGTTCTGAGAATGACGCAAATATTGGTTTTCACAAAGTTTGTAGCTTCAATGTTTTTAGATCTTTTTGTAACGAGTTACAATGATAACTGAAATATAATTACAAGTATTTCATAAATGTTAAAAGGATTTTTATAGACAATTACATTAAGTTAATGCAAAGAATCAGTGTTTGCAGTGCTGACCCTTCTTTTTCAAGACCTCCCCAATTCGCCCTGGCAGGCTGTCAATTAATTTCTGGGCCACATCCTGACTGATGGCAGCCCATTCTTGCATAAGCACTCGATGCTTGGAGTTTGTCAGAATTTGTGAGTTTCTGTTTGTTCACCCTTCCTCTTGAGAATTGATCTCAATATGGTTAAGGTCTGGGGAGTTTCTTCGCCTTGGATGTCAATGTTTTGTACCCTGAGCCACATAGTTCTCACTTTGGCCTTGTGGCAAGGTGCTGCATCATATTGAAAAGTTGTTGTTGCTCTCGGAGGACGTTTTCATACCATTCTGTATTCATGGCTGTGTTCTTTGGCAAAATAGTGAGTGAATCTAGTGCCTGGGCTGAGATGCAACCCTACACATGAATGGTCTCAGGGTGTTTTACTGTTGGCATGACTTTTGGTCATGGCTGTGACCACACTCCTTTCTTTCTTCCCAAGTGAGTAGGAGTCATGGGAGGAACCCAACAAAAATCATTGTACAGATATACATTGCTAATAATTTCTCAAAATGGCGCTCAATCAGCACCAACATTTTATTTGGACATCTATACTGATGCCCACTTCAACCTCTGAAAATACCGCAAGGATTAGACTCTCCGTGGCTGACTTGTATAAGAGAATGAGGAAATGAGCAATACATGCATTTTCTCTCATGCCAGATTTCTTTGATAAGTCCCCAAGATATAAACACAATTCATTCCGAGAGGCTTTTCGTAAGCTGAATTGTTCATAGGTCATTATATATTGCATTTAAATTCATAAAGGTTAGCTGAACTTACCTCTCAC